AACCTAGAAATCTATGAATCTATGAATTACAGCCTAACATGGAATTCAGAACAGGTTTCAGCTATTAATGCGAGTTACGGTTTGAAGATTAAACACTTCAACTTCTTAAATCAAAATAAAGAGTTTCAGCTTCCAATACCCTACATACCTCTTGCAGCTGAAGTTCTGAACCTGTGAAGCCCCCACCAATATCCAACATGTTCATCTTAAAGCCAAATTCTTCCTAAAATGGAGAGGCAGAATGTAAGCATGCAGACAACTGTAACTGTAAAAATACTTTTTTGTCACTCCTTACTGTGGTTGTTTTCTGTGTACTCATACTTTTGAGCATATTTAGCACAGTATGTCTAGCGAGGGAGTAATGTCCTCGTAAAAGTTGGTACAGCTCTATTAAACCTAGTAGTAATAGCCTTTGGATGTCAACAGAGGCTGGCTACACAATTGTCAAGTACAAGTCCCACAGCAACATCAACTCCCATCTTGTGGCATTTGTTATATTCAGACAATATTTGCTGAACAGGGTGGTGCATTCTGACAAAATAGAAGTTTTAGGAATTTAGAAATATGTATAGTGCAAGTCTTTTGGATAGTGCTTACGTGAGAAGATTGTTATAATGAACTTGCACAAAGATCAGTGAGAACTTCAGTTCTGATGTTCTCCCTGTGTTACCAGTCACAGCTAATGCACTAACTCCAGTAATAAGAGTAGTAAGACTTGCACTCTTCTGTTTAGTTTACAAGCTTCTCATTTACAGAAAGATAGACGTTCAGAAAAGGGATTTTTGAATTTTGCAATATAAGAAATACACAGAACATTAAGACACAAGAGTCACCTGAAGCACCCAACAAATCCATTCCTCTTCATTCAATTTGGATATTCCTCTCCTTGCAATGACACCTCTATTTCTTATGATGCTTAGTTATTAATCAGAGACCACATGCACCAATTATATCATGATAAATGCCAGCATACAAATGCTTAGTATTGAATTTAACTTAATGTCAACCGTATATTTACAGGAATGAGACCTGACTTTCACAAAAAGCCTTTACCAGACGTGGGAAACTAATTTTTTACTTGAAAATAGCATACAAGCCTACTGTGTGTCAGTGGGACAGTAGTCATTAAACTTCGTCCACGATTAGTATTATAAAGTTCGTTTTACCTCTACCACACATCTCACAGTGGAATGTTCAGCCCCTTACTAAAAGTTCCATTTCCTACATTGATATACTTTGGAAATAGCGAGTTGGCTTGTTAGTAGGATTAGAACAGAATAGATCCTATACTGTAGCAATTGCATGTGTTTATAGATTTACTTACAGCCATGTCAAACACACACCGAGCATCAGATATAGCATGAATGTACGTTTGCAGTTCCTTGCAAGAGCCTGAAACATGAAATCTGAAAGAAATAAAAATGCAGTTAATACAATGAACCATGCAGCTTTCAGACCAAGCAAACCGTTTCATCATCTACAACAGCAATGGAAGCAATTAATTCCCAAGCTGCTCAAGACAAACTTGCAGGATCACACAGTAACTGTGCAAAGACAATTGCCTTCTATTCCATCGGATTTGTACTTAGCGCCTGCCTGTCTTGCTCTTAATGCTGAAAATGTCCTACAACATTCTCATCTTTAAGAATTAAGACCAGATATACTGAACCTTTCAGTCTTCGCTATCAGAGTGGTTAAAAGTTGTTCTTCAGTGGTGCCAATGCTAACACAACACCTGTGTACAGCCTCCCCGCTCCTAACCTACTCTGTACTGCCTTGCCTGTACACCCTCTCTCCTGCACCACCCAGTCTTCTTCCCAAAGTCAGGGCTGTACTGCGCACACTCTCTACTCTCCCCAAGGTCTGGGAGAGGGTGAGGAGAGGTATGTCCCACTGCCACCCTGTTCTGAAGCCTCTTCACTCCAGGCCAGGTCCTAATTTCATAGCAAGACTGACAGGTCATCAGAAGCAGAGAAGTACTGATGCCTCTCACAAGCTCCTGAATCCCCTCTGGTTCCTTGGCCAAAAGGTTTAAGTAGTGTCATAATACCTTTTTTAAAAAAATTTTTTAATAGTGAAAATGCACAAAAGCCACGTGATTTTCATTAAAAGTCAGACTAGACACATAAAAGACTACACTTCTCAGTAGTATAATTTAATTTTTAAATAAGTTTATAATTTGTAATGATTATAGTACGTTTATGCTTTAAGTTGAAGATTACAGTTAGAAAACAGGAGAGCCTTCTGAACTTTGCTTTTACGCTGACAGGAGGATTTCTCATACTCTATTTCAAATTGCTTTGATGTCTGTAATAGTTACTTTGTTTCATATTAGATTTTGCTTGTATATTAGCACTTTGCTTGCAAGCAAACACTCATGATCCTAAAGGGGTTTTTTCTTTTTTTTTTAAAAAAAAACAGCCTTTAAAATAGCCGAAGGAGAGAAAAAATTCTTTGTATTCTACTTTTGAGTACATCATACAAACATCTGCTCAGCCAGAGAACTATTAATAAGTTACTCACTTGACACCAACTATTTGGACTCCCAACTCCTTAGCACATTCCATAAGGTGCCTACAGTTCTTCAGGGTGGTGCCAAACTTCATGTTCACCTCCTCATCAGCAGTGATGTCTTCTGTGGCAATGTGCAGTAAGAGCCTAAGAGAAGGGGAAGATGATTGGGGCAGTTGGTTTACATCATCAGCACATGTGAAGCCTGAAGACTGTCAGGAGTTTGTTGATTATGTTGTCAATACTCCAGCTCCATCGATGGATGAGTCAAGTGAACCTAATAAAAACAATCCTGTACAGAGAAAAAACTAGCAATTAGGGGCTAAAACATGGAGCCAACAAGGACAAGGGATTTCGAAATGCAGCAGCAACTAAGACTCTTTTGTAGCAGCAAGAGTCTGTTGAGTGCTGTAATAAAAGAGAATGTTACCTTCTAATAAAGTATACTTTCTTATAAAACCACTAAGACTGTAATATGCTTTTCCCATCTCTGTTCTTTCTAGTCAAGACGACAGCATGGAGATTCTCTTTCAGTTACATTTGGTTAAACTCAGCATCCGGAGAACACTAGGCTGAGACACTGAAAGCACACCCTGGCCACATCCCTCCACCTCCCCCCCCTCCTGGCTGAGTGCATGGACTGGGGACAGTGTACAGGTGTCAGTCCATTCCCTGTCCCTTCTTCCAGCACATTTGTGGGGTAGGAAAGCCATGAGCACCATCTCTTATAGTCTTATGCAGTGAGACAGCTTCCTCCTTCCAATCAAAGCCTCATCTGGGTAAGTTTGGCAAACTGCAGTACCAGTGTTGACAGTTTTCTACATTAAAGTAACACTTGAGTAGCAAAGGCATGTTCACATCAAAACCTCTAGAGGTATACGCCCCAGAACTCAAGTTCAAGTTGTTGTCCACTAAGAAAGTCACTGGATTCCTCCTCCCCAGCCATCACAATACATGCAAATTGATCACCCACATGGTAAACTAAACAGAAATTGCATCGTGAAATACACAGACTGCACAGAACATGCTACAGTTAGCCAAGACAGAGAGCAAAAACAAGTGGTAGAAGATCTGCACCCAAAGTGAAATAGTTCTTTTCAAGATATGCAACAAGCAAAACTTAGCCTAGCCACTACAAAACACATGGTAGCCTAACAGCTACCTTGACTTCTAAAAGCCCTTTCCAAATAACTCATGATGTGTTTAAAATGCATTTTGTTAAAAACAAAAAAAGAGCTAAGTTCTCACGCAGGCTGCCCAGCAATCCTTGTTAATTTTAATTCATAACACTATCTGGAGAAACTGTCACTAGCTTCTCATTTCCTGCTTCTCCACTAGCACAGACAATTCTGTTCAAGAAATCTGTAGTCAAGCAATATTTTGTAAAGCATTTGGAAACAGTGCTAAATGTAACAAAAATTGTCAAAAGTTAAACTCTTCAAAGTGTAAAAAAATTTCAAATTCATACTACTATGGCTTGCAACCTCACATTAAGATTAGACAAAACCATTTCTTAAAGATATCTAATGTTAAATTTTATTGATGAATTGTTACGGCAGCATTATAAGTTAGTCACGATATTTTCTAGTGCGAACTACTGAAAAAGTGTAATTCTGACTTCTAGAAATCTAGTAAGATTCTTCTTCCTGCATTTCAGCCAGTTAGAGCAGGGCTAGAGGATGATGTGGGTGTTTGCTTTTTTTGGTTTGTTGTTGTTTGTTTTGTGGGTTTTTTTGTGGTTGTTTGTTTGAGGTTTTTTTGGTGTTTTTTTTAATTATTTTTTGTTTATTTTTAAGGAAGCATTGATACTGAGAACAACCATGACTACTGGAGCTTTTAAGACACCAGCAACCTTAGCGGTTTAACTTTGCCTGAAAAAATCCAAAGGTAGAAAGAAATGAAAGACTAAACACTCCTTTCTGACATTTCTCTTCTTTCTTAAAAAGAATTTGCAATCATTCAAGTTACCAAGACTTCCAAAGACAGAAACACCAATTATAAAGAGAGACCCACCCATTACCAAGTTCAGTGCAGAAAGTCACAACAATTTTCAGAAAATGAAAAGAATTACAGCTTTCTAAGCAGGATTTCCTCAGCAAAGCATAATTAATCTACAAAAAGGCAACCGAACTGTAACAACCACACATAGGAAGAACAAGGTTATTTAAAAGCTTTGACTTTTTGAAAGTATGCCAAGGAAGCAAGAGAAGAAAACTCAGTTGTCACTTCAGCATGAGAGTTTTAATGACCGGAATAAGAGAATTCTAATTAAACAAACGAACAAATTGCTACACAATAGGAGAGCTGGAGATCAGGTTTATAGAAAATTTAGATGGCAAATTGCAGTTCTTTTGTTGAAATTGAGTTTCTTGTCCTTGGTAAACAGGAACTTTTTCAAATATTAGACTATGGGATCCTTGAAAAGAAGTAAAGAGTTCATGTTGTTTTTCTCTTAGCTCATGAAACTCCTTCAATCCTGTCTCCCTGCTTCACAATTTCTCTGGCTCAAGAAAAATCTGCATCCTAACTTCTCTTGCTGTGGATGTTACAACAGACATCTTCTAAAAGAGGCCGTTAAGACTTAAGGAAACAAATCAACATAACTAACAAATGACCAGTGATAACTGGCAAAATGCTAATGACATAAGAGTCAGCTTTAGCATTGCTAAGGCTTTCAAATGCATGGAGCATGTTAAGGCCAAGATTGTACACACAAAATTATTTATCATAGATAACATTCTTGGCACAGGAAGAACTCTCCAGTACGAAAAGAACTGATAAGTTTCCATGAGGATGAAGTGTAGTCACTAGCAACAACAATATTAACTCTTGAGGTAGTCTTAAAAAAAACCCAAACAAATAACAACCAGGTGGGATGAGCAGAGTCTCCAGATACTGCACTCCATAGAATTTTCCTAATTCTACAACTATGGCCACAGTATTAGGAGAAGACATGACACTTTAGTAAGTGTCTGGAACCAAGGGCTTTGTGAAGGATGCCAAGAATGCAGTTTCTTAGTACACTTTGATGACATTTGTGGGAAGCTATACCTTTGTTAATCACAGGAAAGCACTGTAACATTAATTTTAGGCCCAGACTCCAAATTTCTTAGAGGTATGGCCCACAGCCAAAGTATTCCTAAGTGAGGGACGCGACACTTAATGATGTGAGCACCTATCAGTCCAAAAGAGACCACGAGACACTAGCAGCAATGAATTTCAGAACATCAGTTTTGATCAGTTCCCTACAGAAAGAACCTGGGCCAATGCTGAAGTGACTAAAAACATAACTGGATTACAATTTCCTGCTGTTTGAATTGTGGGGAAATACCTGCAGATATATTTAACAGTCTTGCAGAGCACACCCAAACCCTAGATGGGACCTGTTGCACACACTCATTTGCTGGTCAGTCTCAGCCCTGACTTTAGCTGAAGCTTCTAACAATCCAAACAGAATAGCCTGAAAGAAAACAGTGAAGTCACAACAGAGCAGGAGGAAGATGTACTTGCAGATGATTAGGTACCAGACTTCCGAAGTTTAATCACGGAAACCTTTACATGAAGATTGCCCTATGAAATCAAAATGCAAGATCTCTCCTAAAACAAGGGCCTTACTATCGTATTAGGAAGCTGAGACCCAGTAGGGGAAAAGTTGCAAGAAAGCTACCTTCAAAAAGAGACATTTAAAGAGAAAAATAGAAACAAGTGAATTGTATTAAAGAAGCCATGTACCTTACTTGCAACTCAAACAACCCAGAACACAGACAGAATTGTTTCCACCACATAAAAAGCAAAACCAGAGTTCTGACACTTACTTAGCATTTGGATGGTTACGTGCGATTTTCTTCAGTTCAGTATCATTGTCACAAGTCATGACGTTTATCCCAGCTTTTGCTGCATACTTTATCTGAGAAGCTTGCTTGCAAGGATTTGTATAGATAATGTTTTCAGGAGAAATGCCCAGGTCTTGTACCAATGCCATTTCAGACTGGAAAACAGGAGCGTACCAGAGTTTGACACAGTCCAGTGCACTATGTTTAATGAATTTTTGTTAGATGTGCTCTAGTACTGCACTAAACAGTTCAAATACACTAAAGAGAAAATTATCCACTGCTGCTAGGGTGGAAGTACAGGTGTTCATCAGCCAGTTACACAGGAATTCACAATTTAGTTATAGTATATATAACAATGGCACTTACTACCAAAAAAGTTTATTTTAAAACAGCAGACAGATGGAAGAAAATAAGGCACATAGGTACACACAGAACACAAAACTTACTTTACTGGAACATGCAAATCCAACACCAAGGGTTCCCAAAATTTCGAGTACACCTGGAGTAGAATTGCATCTTACAGGATAAAATGGTTTTATTGGTGCCATCACATTCTGCCATTGTATGTTCTTCTTCACAAGTTTTCCAAGATCGCCAACATAAAATGCTCTTTTTCCAGCCTAATAAAAGGAAAAATAGGAAAATAAAGCATCTGAAATTGTGGCTTTGCTGTCAAAATCTAAGCAACCCATGAAACAAGGTCTTAAAGAATTACATACTTTTTTTTCATCCTGCTATTAACTTTTAGGTTTGACCTTGAATAATCCTAATTTTTACTTTCACCTTTTACTTTCACTTTACTTTCAATTAGAACTAGTTTAAGAAAAATAATGAAAGGGAATACCTACCACTTCAGAGCTATTATGAATGCTATTTAGATAATATTCTGAAATTCCTGAACAAAAGATACTACTTAAATTTTATCTAAAAATACAGAACAGGTTACAAATCTCTTCCAGCTTTGTATTTTCAGAAGTCTGCAACTCTTTGGAGGAAGAAAATCCACTGGGATGATAGCTTCCACAGTCTCAACAGAATTTATAGCTTATTATACGAGGAACAAAATCTAATGCACTACCATTATTTTAACATCTAGCTAATAGTTCATGTTACTGAAAATTTGTTTGATAGTATTTTAAGTCAGGAAGTCAGGTTTGAGACTGTTCTCCACATCTTGTGAAGCACAAAGTTCGAATAGAACTTTAAAAACTAAACTTGGTGTGTTAAGGTTGCAGAATCAAGTGCATAATCTGTAAGAAAATGCACAGGTAGTTTTCTGGAAACTGTTAACAGTCCCCCTTGTGCATCTGTTACCATAGTCTTTCTCAATATCAAGTCATGATGCAGATGTAGGGGATCAAAATCCAAACAGATCATTCTATATTAGTTTATCATATGCACTTAGTAAAATTCCTGTAAACGAATGGCCTACTGTATATCAATAAAAGACCATCACAAAAACATATACTCAATTTGAATTAAGACTGTACATCAAATGATATTTCTAGCACTTGACTTTTGCAGATATGAAACTATGTTGTGGCTTATTGTATACAATGTCTTTACTTCTGTTTAAAAAACACAAATAGAAATTCCATCGGGTGGAAGC